TAATAGTTTGTCTTCTGGTGATGTTGGATTTGGGAAGAAATCAGGGAGGAAGACCTCCGCCTGCAGGTGGAACTCTGACACCACCTTCGGCAGGAAGGAGATGTCCGGGACAAGGCGGACTCCGTCTGGCAAAAACTACAGGTAAGGTGTATCATGACGGAAAGCCAATATTTCTCCCACTCGTCTAGCCGATGTGACAGCAATTAAAAAGGCCGTTTTCCATGCTAGAAGTTTGAGGTCGCATGTTGCAAGCGGCTCAAAGGGCTTCCTCGTGAGCTGGCGGAGAACTAGAGGAAGGTCCCAGGGAGCGACTGGAGTTTTGACAGGAGGATAGAGATGCAATAAACCCTTTAAAAAACGTTTTGAAATAGGATGGGAAATCAAAGTGCATCCCGAATATGGAACATGGTAGGCCGAAAGAGCGGCCAAATAAACTCTCAATGATGAATGGGAAAGTCCCGAGTCAGCTAGGGAGAGGAGGAATTGGAAAACCGTTTCGAGACCCACTGAGGTGGCTCGAGGGGCGTCATCACCTAGGGAAGAACAGAACCTTCGCTATTTATAATTGTAGGCCCTCCGCGTAGTAGGTTTCCTGGAATTCAAGAGAACGTTCGCTACGCGGGTGGAGAAGTCGGTGACATTATTCTCCATGCCGTCAGTTTCAACTGTGGTATGTCGTGATGTAGGAGGGGGGAGTCGGGGGGGAGTCGGAGAGGAGGAGGAGGTCCTCAGCCGGAGGGAATCAATGGTATAGCCCTTCTGATAACTCAAGGACTGTTTAAAACCAAGGTTGCCTCGGCCACCATGGGGTTACTAAGATGCAGTCTGCGCCGTCTCTGAGTATTTTGTGGACCACTCTCAGAAGCAGAGGTAAGGGAGGGAACAGGTAAAGAAGTCCCGTGGACCAAGAGTAAAGGAGACCGTCTCCCAGAGAATGTGGGTCCCTGCCTCCTTGACTGCAGAACCGAGGACACTTTTTGTTGTTTTTGGTTGCAAAGACATCGACTTGGGGAGCTCCCCACTTGTGGAAGAGTGGTAGGAGGTATGTTGGGTTCATCCCCCACCCGTGAAGGCTGAGTCCTGCTCGACTTAGATGGTCTGCCTGCGCGTTCATGTGTCCGGGAATGTGAGTGGCTGTGAGGAAAATGTTGTTGGCAATGCAAAGCTCCCACAACTGGATGGCAAGGTTGCAAAGGCGTAGGGAAACAGTGCCTCCCTGTCTGTTGACATAAGAAATGGCCGTGGTGTTGTCCGTGAGGACCATGATACATTTTCCCTTGATTAAAGCTAAGAAGCTGGTGACAGCGTGTTGTATAGCCAGGAGTTCGAGGAAGTTTATGTGTCGCTTCCTCATCTGCGCGTCCCATTTGTCTCCAATGGAAAGGCCCATGGAGTGTGCACCCCATCCTGTCAGGGAAGCATCCATCGTTATGGTGACTTCAGGTGACGAAGGGTGGAAGGGTGCTCCCTGGAGGATATTCGAAGGGACAGTCCACCAAAGTAACGAGTCCTGTATGCTGGGAAGAGAGGATAGGAGGACGATGTGTGCGTTTTTCGACAGATCATAGTTGCGGATAAACCAGAGCTGTAAAGGATGCATTTTGAGTCTGGCAAAGAAGAGAACCAACATAGTTGCAGCCATCAGGCCAAGCAGCCTCTGAATTTGGAAGGCAGTGACGGAGGGTTGGGTACGGACGACGGTGGCTAAGGAAATGATATCTGCCGCCCTGTCGTGGGCAGGTAAGCCATGCATGTCGTGGAATCCAGTATAGCGCCGATGTACTGTATTCTCTGGACCGGACACAATTGAGACTTTTGTCGATTGACTTGTAGGCCCAAATTCTCCAATAGTGCCAGAGTCTCTGTGATGTTTGAGACCAGGGCGTTCTTGGAAGGCGCTACCAGAAGCCAATCATTGATATATTGGTAGATAGAGACACCCTGGAGACGGAGGAAAGCTGCAACCACAATCATAGTCTTTGTGAAGAATCTTGGGGCGCTGGACAGGCCGAATGGAAGGGCCATATACTGGTAATGCTGTTGACCAATCGCAAAGCGTAGGTATTGGCGGTGGGAGGGGTGGATGGTAAGGTGGAAGTATGCGTCTTGGAGGTTGAGGGTGGCCATCCAGACGTGTCTCCAAAGCAATGGCATGATCTGTTGTAGGGACACCATGCGAAAGCGGTGGTAGGTCACAAAACAGTTCAGTTCCCTTAGATCTAATATGGGTCGAACGCCTCCATCCCGCTTTGGAACTGTGAAGTATCGGGAATAAAACCCCGTCCCGTGGAGGTGTGCTGGTACATGTTCAATGGCTCCCTTCTGCAGAAGGACGGACACCTCCTCTAGGAGAGGTGGGGAAGGGGGCGTGGAGAC